GTATTCATTTGAAACTAAATTCGACTCGTCGTCCAAACATTTGGCATTTGCTTTACTATTATATCAAAAAGTGTATGAAATAAGAAATTTAATTATATTTAAGATATGTTGTTATAAAACTTTTTTTTACAAAACTGTCTTATACTGTATATGTTTAAAAATAACATAAACTTTATACTATATTTTATTTATTAATATAAATATAATTCTAGAAGGTATTTAAAAATAATTTATGATAATACTTATTTATCAATTCGAGTATTTATAGCAATTATTTAAGCATTTAATTAAATGAAAATTGTAGATTTAGTTATTATCAAATTTGAACAACTAATTTGAAGCAAACACAATCTTATTTTAAATTCCTAATTTATTTAAGCTTCTTTAAAATATGATGTTCAAAAATATACTAAACAAGTGAACGCAAAGTAATTTTGGCTTAATAATCAAATATCTAGTAGTAATATACTATGCACACAAAAATGTTGAATGAAATTCAATTATTATAAATTAAATTATTGAAAAATCTTCAACTATCTTACAGTGAAAGTGAGCGCATACTATGACCATAAAAATAAACCAATTCTATAAATTGAATATCAATACAACACTAAAAGCTTTATAAATTCCTAAATAAAACTCAAGTTTTCAGTGAATTTTAGGTCATTTTGTTCTAAGATTTCACGAAAACTAAATTCCCGGTTAAGAAACCAGAAAATAACACAAAATTACTGTATATTGAAATATGAGCTCTCAATTGATTTAAGCCGTCCGTTAAACTCTAAATATTTTTTGTTAAACTTAAATTTTAATATTGATTATACATACGTTAAGAAATTGTCGAGGTAAATATTACTACATTGTGACCAATTAATTTTACCAGGGCCTGTTTTCTCAGACATTATAAACTTATCGCCATCACAGTTATTGCCCGTGCCGTCGTGTAGAATACCTAAACTATATTAATATTTTATAATTTATTTTACTCATTTATCTAATTCATGCAAATAAAACTATTTAAATCGCATAATTAAAATACCAAATTCAACTTATAATTGGCTCATTATATTTGTATTAAAACTAGTAAATTCTTGAATTTCTACCAAAAATATTCTTATGTTACTTATGATTAGGTTTGGTACTACTTATGCAAAATAATGAATAATTATTATATCTGAAAGTGAATGCTTTACAATTGAATGAAATGTCTAGAAATATGGAAATGCCTGCAAACCTGTGTCCCATTTCGTGTGCGATTACGAACGCGGCTTCAAAACTCTTGCCTTCATTGAGAGTACAACTATAGGCAGGTTTGCACATACCGTTCACCCACGCCAGCCCTTTGTACGGATGTACGGGTTTTCACAATAAAAAACACTCAATAAATATCGATTTGATTCACTCGTGCGAAATAAGAGGACAGACATACCCAACACTTTCTTGTTTTTCTTATCTCCACTTTGTTTATACAGATCTAATCTAATGAATAATTAAATTATTATAATTTGTATGTTTGTGTGTCGGGGCTCTATCTCTCTATGTTTTGCTCTAATTTTAGTCGCTTTATATTTGCCATCAAATTAATAAATATATATTTCAGTCACATTTTTCTAGTTAAAAACTTGACAACAAAAAAATTGTCGTTCAAAAGGCAAAGAATGCCCAATGAATGGATTTTAATTTAAATTTCAATATAAGTTAGAATAATAAACTAAATTAATTTTTAGCGTAAAAAGGAGTTGAAAATCGAGAGTATAGTTGAGTAAAGTAGAGTTTATGTGATATATGATATGGTATATATTATGATATAGTACAGTATATGGCAAATAATATGTTATACTAGTATAATATGGTTCGTGAAATGATAGTAATGTCAAACCCGGTTAACATAAGCGCGTGATCCCATCGATTGGATGAGTTCTCTTGTCTCCACTTCTTTGACTGCCAGCTGCAGAAGTTGTCTAAATATTCATCAATATCTCCTTCGGCAGTATCAGGACTGCTGTCGGGTTGACTGAGGAAAACCATTTTCATGATTACTATTTTGATTCTGGTTTTCATGGATTTAAAACTATAGATGAGTTGCACCTCATTCATGATCGCCAGCACTAAACGAGTCAATTCTGAGCGCAAACCATTAAACCGATTCAATAGATGCCTATCTATATAGACAGCCGTCTCTATTATCTTCTGAGTCACTGCTCTTCGCTTTCTTTTAAGGATTTGATTTTTGGGAATATTATACAAAGAGTTGTTTGCTTTGCTGAAAATGAATTCATTAAACGCTTCTCGTCTGTCGTTTTCATCTGTGGATTCAATTTTTTATTATAATTAAACCAAAAATAGAGTTTTTATATGAATTATTAATTCTGAACATCAAAAGGAATTATCAAATATAGGGTGAGAGAGAAATGTTTACTTTAATGAGAATTTCAATCAAAATTAGAGAATCGTTTCGATCGACAGAAATCCTTAACAGAGAGAAAAGTTTTAGCGAAAGAAAAGTAAGAATACAATGTTGTGATTGTCTTAGAGTTTTCTGTCTTTCAAAGACTTTCTAAGAGATGAAAAGTTTTAATGAAACGATGAGTGAAACAGTGAATTAAATTCAAAACTTATTTTTATAACAACCGTAGGATAAGCAAAGCAATGATTGATTTCATACCAATGAAAGCCAGATCACAAAATTCAGTCTCGGATTGATTGACGCGAACCAATACATGTGCCATGAATTGAGTCATATCTTCACTGCTGTTAAGGTCTACTCCTTTCGGCAAATCCTGTTTAACACTGGAATCGCCTTTCGTTTCGTTCCTATGCTTAACATAAGTTTGTTTTCTCTTTTCAAGCTTTGAATCCAAGTCTTTATACTTTTTCTTAACATTGGATTTAATTTCTCGATAATATGTGGACTCGAGTGGACGCAAAACAAACGTTCCCTCGCCTTCAGTGATGATCAGAGCGTACTGTTCATGGGTTTCATTAAATTAATCAATGAGTATCTCGTATTGCAAATTGTAATTAACTATATTATGCTTTACTACAGTATTTAATGAAAAGTTACCATAACTGATAGCTATTAAAGCACTTGATATATAGGAATAAGTTTGATCCGCAAATAGTTATTAGAGAGAGAGAGAGAGAGAGAGAGAGAGAGAGAGAGAGATAACAAATGATTAGACGAACCATTTTGTCGCTATTATCACAGCGAGTGATGGCAGCCCTTCCTTTGACCGGAGATATAATGATTCCGGAATACAAGCAGTTCTTGTGATTACCATTTATTTCATTGGACCCACTCTTTCGGTCCGACTCTTCCACAGAAAGTCCACTTAATATGAAGTTATCGTTTGGTTGAAGTAAAACATAGAAAGTTGTGTTAATATTTTCCGCTCTAATTGTGACAATCGTTTCGTGCAATAAAAGAGATTTCTTTTCCGATTCAAACCAATAGTTTCTCTGGAAATCTCTGCGGACTCTAGTCTTTGAATAACTAATGCGTGGAAACACAATCTCATGGACTTCTCGGCCCTCATATCCAGAGGAATGTGTTTTAGGGAAATACTCATCACTCGATAACTTTAACTGAAAATATTAATTATTAAAATCTCAATTAATATGTTTATTAAGATTTAATTATACGGAACATTGTTTTGAAGCTAATCAAATAAGAATGCTTATTTAATCTATGGTTGATATTAGTATTAATGGTTTTATCAAATAAATTGATAGTAGCGCAATAAAATACTTTGTTATTATAGTATTAATATTATAGCATTTTATAATAATTGAATAAAGTAAAATATATACAGTATTTATAATAATATAGAATTTTAAAAGGTTTACATTCTGTACAAACGACAGGAATTACGCTTTTTGTCAGATTATATGATAAGTTTTAATATAATTTGAATGCATTTTAAACTCACAGATATTGGTAGTAAATTGTATTTTATTGAATATCAGTGATATTCTTTCTAATAACCTGAAATAAAGTATGTAGAATAATAATGCAATATTCCTTATATTGAATTTCACTGAATAATACTATCACAGTCATTATAAAATAAACTATAAGGTATATTATTTCTAATAATTACTAAATTTACCAAGAAACTAAATACAAAAATGAGTATCATAACTTATGATTCATAAGTATAAATATTTGTCCAGAAAATAAGGATATCATTTAATAAAACTACCAAAATATGTTCAAATAATAAATCATTAAAATATAATATTAAGTTTACATTCTGATCTTTATATTTCTTAATATTAATAGTCAGAAAAATTCCTCAGATAATAGTTATAATAACTTTTGGCATTATTATTTAAATTCTTTAAAAAACAAGCAATAATCATTTAAATACAATAACCAAACAAATACTCACCAAATTGTAAGATTCAAAAGTGGTAAATATAATAATAATCATAAAAATTATATCATACTTTAAAAAGTTTCTAAAAATAATTTTAATTTCAAACAAATTGTAGAAAATTAAACACATTTTTGGCATTAAATCAGTGAATAAACATCATTAAGAAAATAACTATTTTGTCGCTTATAAAAATGTAATATCTTTTTCATCAAAATCTTACGATAAAAATAAAATATTCATTTGACTGAACCATTCATTATAATGTATTGGATTATTAAATAGCTGTGGGACTGACTGATAGCCTTTCCCTTGCATTCACAGCTATATTATGTGACAATCAGTTGTGAAAAAAGAGAAATGCAGTGGTTTTGTAACTTTTCGTGCGATGGATAACAAAATTGGCAAAAAACACATAATTTTGTTGTATTGGACCGGAAATATACCTGAAAAAGGCCGACAATAGCTGCGATGGCTGTGAACTACTGTACCACTACTGGTGGTACTTGTGCTCACTTTCACCCAATCTCTCTCTCCTTTTTCAATAAACATTTTTATTACATTACAATTATGTAATGCATTGTATTGTCTATAGACTCTACTGTATACAATAGTATTGTACGCCAAGGATTCAATTTGTCATATAATTACAT